GAGCAAGAACGCTACTACTAGGAGCAAGGACGCTACTGGGGGCTCCTAGCCTTACTACTAGGAGCAAGAACGCTACTAGGGGCCCCTGGCCTTACTACTGGGAGCAAGAACGCTCTTAGGGGCTCCTGGCCTTACTACTAGGAGCAAGAACGCTCTTAGGGGCTCCTGGCCTTACTACTAGTTACTAGTCTTGATTTGAGATGTCTTGATCTGCCCTTTCTCACAGCTCCTTCGCCGCCTCGGGTCGCATGAAGTTCACCCCACGGTAGACCAGGCAAATCTGCGAGGTGCTGGTGACCGGCGATATATAAGATAGGGTGGAGGCCATCGCTATTATATGAACCTCCCAGGGACCTCCATAGTCCAGGTTTTGAAGAGGGTGAGATGATGTGAGTATGCCTGAGCACCACTCCAGAAACTCAGCTAAGGACCCCAGCCTTCAGGTACAACATCATGGTTGGTCGCCAAGTACTTTCCATAGCTGAAGCCTGTGGGGAAACAAGCCAGCCACGTCATGTTCACTCAACTAAAGGAGTTGGTGAAGTCCTCTCCACTTAACAGTGCAATGCAACCTCAATGTCTGTGTTCAACAAAAGAGTGCTGCCCCAAGCCTTTCAACTTTCAACACTCTCAACTTGAACATAAGCTCAATGGGCAGCATATTGCTTCGGTCTGCTTCGCAGCTATATAGAGCTTTTCTATCCATCAGGACATGTTGGGCCCGAGCCTCCTGGTTCACGTCCTGTGCGTCCCCTTCCATGGCCCCTGCATTGAGCACACGAAATCTCAGCAAGTCAAAAGTGAACAGGCAGATTTTGGAACAAAGAATGGAACCGATCTTCCACCTCTAAAGCTGCACAATCTCCCGAGCGCTTCTTATTGGTTTTTTTTTCCGTTGAAGCGTTGTGTCTTTGCTAGTTGCGAAAGCCTTCTTCTGCATCTTCGGCCCTAGCTGCCTGATGCCGAACTGAAGCACATGAGTCTTCAGGAGTCCATAAGTCATAAGTGTCCACACAGCTTTCCGCCTGACACTGAGCACGATAAGCAGCCTCTGCTTGGCGCAGCGACCTCAAATCCCGGCATCTATTGAGCCTGGTGAATGGATGAACAGCCCAGATGCTAGACCAAATGTCTCGGCCATCCACGCGCGATCCAAAGGCGACCACTTTTTCTTTTCCTGCACGTTGAAAATAGCAAAGGAAAACGTCACTGTATTTGTGCCGCGGTATGATGTGATTGTTTCAATGGTGTAGTGAACCCATCAAGCCATCCTTGTTGTAGGAGCGGCATGTCTCCAACCTTCGTCGCGCCCAGGACACCACAGCACAGTTGATCCCCTATGCTTCGTGTGAGGGACGAAAGGCCAGAAGCGGCAAAATGTGAAAGGTTTTCAATTCGAAGCAACTGAAAGTGAGGTGCGGCGAAGCAGGTGAGGCACACAGTTCTTTGGAATTGTGAATTTCCCGTCGTTCCAGTGCATGGTTCCCTTCAGAGGACCTTATCCCTAGCTGTCGGGTGAACAAGAATGACCCCTGGACCCATGCGGCCCACACGAGAAGTTATGGAACAAACAGTTTTTTGCCTGTGTAGTTGCAGGTTTTTTCTAACTGCATTTTTGGGGGAACCGCCATCTTGGTCAACGAGGTTAGTTTCAACTGCACTGCTTCTACAAGAGCGGGAAGGGGCATGTAAGCACCGCGAAGACTCGCAAATTGCACCAATCAATGGGGTCCCCCGAAAAAGCGAAAAATATCCAAGCTGCAAAAAAGTATGCTTCCCAGTCTGTCTGAATTTCTTGCCGGGCTGCATCTCGGCTGCACGCTCCTTCAAAAGGGAAGCTTGACTCAGGTGTCACGATAGGACCATACAATTCGGACAAATAGAATTTATGAAAAGAAAAAACTCTATCCTATTATTATAGAAATATATATATATATACATTATTACTTGTGAATTTGAAGCCAATGAACCAAGAGCCACCTGACCTTCTCATGAATCCAAGACGAAAGGTGACATCGCATCGACCATCGACATTCGCCAATGAAATCTTTGGCTCAAGGAGCGGACTCACGACAGCGGACAAAGAAGCGTGGACGCTTGGGTAGGGACTTGTTTTGGGTAGGTGCCCTTAGGTTGGTGTAGGTTGTTGGTGCTACCTTTGTGGTTCCGAAGGAATCACATTGGTAGCGGAGCTTGTTGGCCTCCGCGTAGGACGTAGGAGTAAGCCATGGCTACTGAATCCTCAGGAGAGGAAAAGGGTTCTGGAATCTGGAGTATGCTCCCATCATTCGACCCTGCAGTTGACAATGCCAGAGAGTATATAGCGAAGGTGAAATTTATTGATGGTATTTGTCCAAAACGGGATAGACCTATGTTGGCGCCCAAGCTGGCGATGATGTGCAAAGGAACAGCATGGCATCAGGTGAGAGCCCTACGACCTGAGCTACTTACAGATACCACGAACGGAGTGAAACACTTCCTGGCTGCACTTCAGAGTTGGGAAGAAACCGGAGAGCTGAAGACCTTTGAACTTTTTGAGAAAGCCATCTACAAGACGACACAGAAGCCTGACGAATCCACTCAGAGCTACGTCAATAGATTGATGGTGGCATTCGATGAAGTTGGCCCTGATACAACATTGAAGTCGGTTGTGGCCTTTGTTCTTCTGAAACAAAGCTGCCTTTCTCATGAAGATAAAAAGAAGGTTTTGACCATGACCAACGGAGTGATGGAGACAACAGCCATTGAGGGTGCAATGAGGTCATTGTCCACGAATGTGCTGAATAGCTCTGCCGGACAGGAAAAGAAGAAAGTGTATCCCATCAACTTCACGGAGCCCGATGATGTTGATTCCAGCAAGGACTTCAATCCGGTCTATGCCATGAACTTTGAAGATGATGAAGAGGCGAACCAAGAGACGATTGAAAGCATGGCATCCTGGGGCGATGCAGACGCCCTGGCCGTTCAGGCCTTCGAGAAGGACTTGGAGGATTTGCTGCAAGAGTCCCAGATCTTCATACAGCATTAGTATCCTACCATGAGGCAAGAGCTCGCATCAACGAGCGCAAGAAGAACAGAGGTTTCTGGCCCGCCGGACAAAAAGGGTCAGGCAAGGGATACAAATCCGGATTTGCTGGAAACAACTACAAGGGCTTTCGCAAAGGTGGATCAAAGGGGAAAGATGAACTTCTTCAGAGGATTGCTCGCACCCACTGCAAGAAATGTGGAGAACTGGGCCACTGGAAGGCCGAATGCCCAAATCGACCCAAGGACCAGGTGAACATTGTGACCCAGGAGATGAGCGACAGTCCAGACCAAGTCGTGATTGAGGAGCTGAACATGAGCGATCACATGGAGGTTCGAAGTGACAAAACATTCATGAACATGGATCCCACCTGCCATGACTCCAGATTCGAACAAGCCTTCGTAGGAATTCAGTTAGCACGTAATTCACTCGATCCAACAGGGGACCTAAAGATAAAGATGCAGAAGTTTTTTAAAACAAGGTTGAATCCTGTGCATTTTGCCAGGCAAGACTTACAGAGCCAGATCCCGCCGGATCAAGTCAGTTTGTACCCAAGCTGCACCAGTAAAGCCGGCAGAGAGGCTTTCAACACGCACGGCTATGCCATTGTCGATACTGGTGCAAGTCGCAGTGTCATTGGAAGCGAGAACCTTCCACACATGTTGAGCTTGTTAGACCGACACACTCGAAACCGCATAAAGGAAAAGCCCAGCCGCATCGGTTTTCGCTTTGGCAATAACCAGATTGAGTATAGCTATAAACAGATATGGGTTCCGATTCGAAACCAGACACAACAGATTTGGCTAATCATTGAAGTCGTCCCAAAAGGAACACCATTCCTATTGTCAATCCAAACGATGAAGAAACTTGGAGCTGTGCTTGATTTGACCCAAGGGACATGCCACCTGCAAACATTAGGGAAAGTCATTTCATTGAAGCAAGGAACAACTGGATTGCTCATGATTAGTCTTGCTGATCTTTGTCAAAATTCGTCTGTGTCAGCCCTTGCCGCATCAAAGATTGTCGATAAGCCTGCCCCTGAGCAGATTTGTTGCCATGCCCACCAGGAAGGACATCATGGAGATGATTCGCGAGACCGCAGATGCGGTCATGCAGCTGTTGAAGATCCTCCTGACTCTCCTGATGAATCAGGTGCAGACACAAGTGGAAGAGCAAGGAGAGCAGCTGGTGCCCAACGAACATGCATTGCAAATGCAGCATTTGATGCAAGAAGTTCAAAGTCAGAAAGCAATGCTGCAGCAGATCGCATCCAATTTGAAGATGCCCGGAACAAAGCCAACATCTCCTGGCCACCGGGACTCAGAGTGGTCAGAAGTCTCCGAGAGAGAAATCCATTTGTGGGAAGACGAACTGCAGATGATGAACGAGAAAGGTCAAGCCTCAGGAGCATTGAGCCCAGTCCGAGTGACAACATCACCAACGGTGACAAGTCCACCTTCAGGGAAGAAGCCAAGTCAGGCCGTCCCAGCTGGAATGAGTGGTGCCCGCTCTCGACAGATCGAAGCTCCCGCACTCGGCGGACCCATTCTGGCCCCCGGAGGAGTTTGGATTCCGGAAGAGAAGGTGTCTGGGAGCGAATTCACGGCACCTCATGGCCGAGACGTGGCTTGGACTCAAGATGCAATGACATCATGGGGCCGCAAAACCATCACCTGGGGCAAGAAGCACCCAGGAAAGATGTACTACCAGATCTACGAGACAGACGATCAGTATGCGAACTGGTGCCTGAGCCGTATCAATTCGCTAGGCATGCCAGTCCTCGACTTTGCCAAGTATTGCCAAGTCCGCCGCCAGATGGAAGCACATCTCCACCAGGGTCTGTGATTAATTTAGCAACGAAGGTTTCCAACAGGTCAGAAGTGAGCTGGTTGAGAAGTTTGAAAAGAACTTGAAACCATGAACGAATCCCCAGGAATTGATCTTCTTGAAGTGTATGCCCAACCAAACAGCCGTTTAGCCGAAGAAACCATGAAGCATGGAGGGTTGGCAAGAAGGTTCACTAGGGAACATGGAGACTTGTCGACATTTCATGGACAGTTGGAGTTGCTTCGAATGGTGTGCAAACATCGACCCAAACACATTTGGGTCGCTCCAGAATGTGCACCTTGGTGTTCGTGGAATAGGTTTAATGCCGGAAGAAGCCTTAGAAGTTTCGATAACATCCAATCAATGCAGGAACAGTCCAAAGAGCAGCTGAAACTGTGCACATTCCTATGCAAGATTCAGATAGAAAACGGCAGACATTTCACAATGGAGAATCCTGGCTCCTCAGGAATGTGGAAGCAAGCAGAGATTCAAGAAATCATCAATTTAACGAAGATGGTCATGTTCGATCAATGCCAATTAGGCCTCAGGCATCCACAGAATCACCAGCCGATTAGGAAAACCACTAGGTTGCAGACGACCTCACGAGCAATTGTTCGTAACATGGATGATAGGAGATGTTCAGGTGAACACAAACATCATCAGATAGCTGGAACATGTCATTTTCAAGGGAAAACCATTGCCTTGTCGAGATTCGCAGCTTTCTACCCTCAAATGTTGGCTAAGAAAGGAGCTAAAGGAATTCTTGAAGAAGACCAAAACCCAGATTACCCAGTGATTGAAGCATCCAATGCAATTGAACTTTTGTGTCCAGTTCGTGAAGCCGAGAATCCACCCGAGAGTGAGCCTGGATCCAAGCGGACACGGATCAAGGGTCCAGAGGAAGACTCTTTGAGCCGAAAGCGAGGACTTGAACCATATGAACCCAGTACAGAGCTGACCGGACAGTCATGGACTGAAGTCATGGAAAAACTTCAGATGATTTTGCCAAAGTCCGGAGCGCAAACCATCGATCTTCAGACGTGGCCAGGCAGATTCATTTGCGAACACAGCCAGATTGCCGATGTCCAAGAAATCAAAGCAATTAAAGGGGTTGAAAGATACATGCTTGGAGATCATAGACACACCCATCGACAAACGATTTGCTTATGCCGCAATACCAAAAGGGTCATGGACCTAGGGGTTGATGAATGGACCAAGATGCCTCAAACACAACAAAGAAGAAAAGCCATCCCAAGCCATATTATGATTGCCATTTTTGGTAGGAATCCTGAAGGATTAGATGCAAGCCAAGCCAAGTCTGAATCCATGATCGAACCAATTCGCAAGTCGATGTCACCAAGTCAGTCAAGCCCGGGAGAAGGAATTCCTCCTTCAATTCGTGAAGCCAGCAATGGAGAGATGCCGATAGCCGAGGTAGGTCAGAGATCTTCCAGTTCGGCCGAACCTTTGGCCCCAATTCCGTCATGGACACCAAATGCAACCATTAATTCTGGACCCAAGTTTCTGGAATTGAATAGTAAGCAACAGACTATGATAAGGAAAATGCACAACAACCTAGGACACCCTGTGTCAGAAAAGCTAGGAGAGCATTTAAAGAGACTTGGATTCACTGAAGGGATGGTTGAAGGTGCAAAAGATTATCAATGCCAGTCATGTGCTGAAAGGGTTCCACCGAAACTTACCACTCCCGGAAAGTTAAAGGAACCACGAGATTTCAATGAGAGAATTGCCATGGATGGTTTTGAATGGAAAGGGGAAAAAGGACAAAAGTTTTATGTTCTGCATTTCTTTGACGAAGCCAGCCATTTTCATTTAGGGAGAAGATGCCTTCGAACCAGTGAAAGCTTGATAAAGACTTTTGAAGAAACATGGACGCATTGGGCAGGCACCCCCTCAGAAATTCAACACGATGAAGCCGGAGAGTTCATCAGCCAAGCCTGGAAAGATTATTTGCAGAAAGAAGGAATCCGTGCAATCGTAAGTGCAGCCCCATGGCAACGAGGTCGGATCGAAAGGCATGGAGGAGTAATTAAAGAAATGTTGAGTCGTGTTGATCAAGAGAAACCCATCCGGAATGAAAAGCAATTCGACGAAGCGCTCAACCAATGCTTTCAAGCCAAGAATAGTCTGACCATTGTCAAGGGTTACAGTCCTGAACAAGCAGTCCTAGGTAGATCACGTAGATTGCCTGCATCCATTTGTGGAGATGAAGAATTTACAGCACATTCGATAGATGATCCCAGGGACACGAGATCAGAAGATTTCCTTCAGAAAATGGAAGTCCGAACTCTTGCTAGGAAAGCTCTTTTAGAAGCTGACAACAGTCAGGCCATTCGTCGTGCCATTAATCGCCAGTCAAGAGGACAAGAGCACCCATGGCAATGTGGAGAGCTGTGCATGGTTTGGGACAAACGCAAGTCCCCAAACATGCTCGAGAAAGGACGGTGGACCGGACCCTGTCAAGTAATCATGGAAGAATCCCGGACAGTGCTTTGGGTAACATACATGAACCGCTTGTTGAGGGTTGCAAGAGAAAATATTCGACCTGTGTCAATTAGGGAATTCAGCAAAGTTGCATCATTTCACCAGAGCTGTGATGAGAAACGGTTGGAGGCAATGGCTAATCAACTCAGGAGTCAATTAAAGGAAAGAAGCGGAATGTTCCAGTTTTCCGACTTGAAAGAAGTTGAGAATCCCGAATCCGCCGATCCTGAGCAGGGAATGCAACCAGAGGAAGAGCCTCTTCGCAGAGCATCAGAAGCCGAAGTGACACCACCAGCCATCGAGACACCCCAAGTGAATGAGCCAACCAATGAAGCACCCGTTTCGCATGAACCATCAGTGAACAATCCACAGAATGAGTCCGATGAAAACCAGGGGAACCTTCTTGGAGGGGAAAATCAAGAGGGAGAAGAAAGGGGAGTAATTGAATCAACAGGGGATTCTTTTACAGTAGTGACCGAGGTGTACAATGTGAGCATTGTAGAAGCTAATGATCCAAACGCAGTCACAGTGAAAGACAATGGAGCATTGTGGCCGTGCCAGGAAAACATTTTAGAAGCCGATGCTGATTTTTGCATGTTCGAGTTCGATGTTCCTACAAGGCATTTGTCCGCATTTTGCATAGAGCCATGCCTTCATGTTGAAAAGATAGTCAATGCAGCCAAAAAGAACCATGTTGAAGTAGTGTACAAACACTTGAGCCCATCTGAAAAACAAGAATTTGATGAAGCGAAAAAGAAGGAATTAGGATGCTGGATAGAGACATCATCGATAGAACCCTTGCTGAGAGACAAGATACACCCAAGCCGCATCATGTCATCAAGATGGATATTGACCTGGAAAACGGATCCATCATCAACCAATGGTCGAAAGGCCAAGGCAAGACTTGTAGTGAGAGGATTTGAGGATCCTGACGCAGCAACAGTCAGTACAGAATCCCCTACATTGTCGAGGGATGGGCGAATGGTGATACTTCAAGAAGTGAGTAGCCGAGGATGGAACCTGCAAAGCTTTGATATTAAAACTGCATTTCTTCGTGGCCGAGCAGATGAAAGACAGTTAGCAATGCAGCCGGTTCCTGAACTACAAAAGATGCTGAACCTGAAAGCTAATGAGGTATGCTTACTAAAAGGTAATGCATATGGGAGGGTAGATGCACCGTTGCTGTTCTACAAGGAGTTTCGCAAACAGTTGGAAGCTGAAGGATTCCAAGCCCATCCCCTTGATGCATGTCTGTTCATGTTGAGGAATCCCAAAGATCCACAAAGATTAGAAGGAATATTGGGAACTCATGTTGATGATGGGATAGGAGGAGGAACCGAACATTTTGAGAGAGCACTTGTCAGGATCCAGAAACATCTTCCTTTCGGTCAAAAAGAATACAAGAAGTTTAGATTTACTGGCCTGGACATTGAGCAGAATCCCGACAGCTCCATAAGGGTAAGTCAAGCAGAATACATCCAAAGAATAGACCCAATAGACATACCCAAACCAAGGAGAAAGGATGAAAACTCCATGGTGACACCACATGAACTTCAACAATTGAGAGCTTTGTGTGGCAGCCTCCAATACGCAGCAGTGCATTCGAGACCAGATTTAGCTGCCAAAGTGGCATTTTTGCAGAAGAAGGTTCCCAAGGCCACAGTGGCTGATTTGCTAGAAGGAAATAAAATCCTGAAAGAAGCCAAAAGCACGATGGAAACATCCATTCTAGTACAACCAATCCCTGTGGAACAAGTTACTTTCGCAAGTTTTGGAGATGCCAGCTTTGCTTCAGAGCATCAACTGAAGGCCCAACAAGGCCTCTTTGTCATGGCAACCACCAAGAAGCTAGGACAAAACGAGGTAGCCGAGTTTTCTCCCATGGCTTGGGGATCAAAACAGATAGCTCGAGTAGTGAGATCAACTTTGAGTGCAGAGGCATACGCCATGTCCAGTTCGCTAGACAAGCTAACCTGGGTAAGATGCCTGTGGGGTTAGGTGAATGATCCATACTTTCAATGGCAAAAGCCGGAAAAAGCACTTGCTAACCAACCCAAAGCCTTGTTAGTGACGGACTGCAAGTCATTGTATGATTTAGTCACCAAGCTAGCTATTCCTAACTGCCAAGAGTGGAGGACAACAATAGAGGTCATGCAAATAAAAGAACAAGCTGAAGGAAACGCTCAATGCCGATGGATTTCTACAGCAATAATGCTGGCTGACTGTTTGACAAAACCTATGGACGCAAGCTTCCTTAGGAAGGTGCTGGCACTTGGCAGGTTTCGCATTTTTGATGAGACCAATACCCTCAAAACAAATGCAAACCGTAAATATGGAGAACGTTGGGCAGAGAGCTTTCGCAGTCTTGCAACCGAGTCAAAGGATTCATTTCGAAAACAGAAATATAGTGAGTGTGAATTTGAAGCCAATGAACCAAGAGCCACCTGACCTTCTCATGAATCCAAGACGAAAGGTGACATCGCATCGACCATCGACATTCGCCAATGAAATCTTTGGCTCAAGGAGCGGACTCACGACAGCGGACAAAGAAGCGTGGACGCTTGGGTAGGGACTTGTTTTGGGTAGGTGCCCTTAGGTTGGTGTAGGTTGTTGGTGCTACCTTTGTGGTTCCGAAGGAATCACAATTACTATATTATATATATACATTATTATACGTTGCTTTTGAGCCCGGCCGGTGGACGGTGGCCGGTGGACGGTGGCCGGCGGACGGTGGCCGGCGGGCATGGCGGTGGCCAGTGGCCGGTGATGAGGTTGCTTCGCGACACCCTACGCCCACACCGGTCGAGAATAGATTCTTTATAGCCGTCAGAAAGCAACGTTTGGCAGTGGACAATGAGATTTGGGGACCATTTTGGGTCATTTTCGGTGTGGAGTTAGATGGTGTCATGCTGTGGCGAAGGGTCTCGTTTAGCAGCTTTGGGCTGGGTCGCATCGGGAGATTCAGAGAGGCCAAAACTTGCCATATACGCCAGAGGTTGCAGGGTTCATAACCTGTTGAGCCGATGGGGTATGTTCTGCTTTGGGAAAGCTGACAACCTCGTCGTATGCCGCCGACGCGCACGACGAGGAGGCACTCAGGGCTCTTTTGGCGGACATTCTCCTTGCCCAAAGTTGATGCAGTTGTTATTGAAGGCTGGTCCTAACATGAGCGTGCATCAGTCGCAGCAAGACAGCCTCTGCTTGGGAGCTTGTGCTCTGTGCAAGTAGAGGCGGTAACGCAATCTTAACCAACCGCGAGCTACCCCACTTGAAGCAGAAAGAAAGAAGTATGCGCGTTTGGAGCCATCTACCTGCTTCTCCTCTTGTGACTGCCTCTGACTGCGTGCGCCAATCTGTGGCTGGAAGAAAATAACAAAGCCACTCCAGTATGTACATTGCCACCGCACAAGAGGCCATGCTAAATCTCCGGACCAGTTGATGTTGGGGCGTGACCATGCTTGCACGGAAGCATGGGCGCAGCTGCTAACCAGCGAGCCAGGCTGTCAGCGTCAAATGCAGAAAGGGCAGCAAGAATATTTTGGCCAACAAGCTGGCCTTCACGTCACTTCACGCAAAGGTGGAAGGTTTACGGTACATGGAGGCATCGTGTGGCCAACAAGGCTTGCCAGAAGAAAGCAACCGGCCACCGGCCACGGCCTACCGGCGGCAAGCAAAGGAAGCTGGTAAAGTTTTGGGGTAAAAGGCTCTCTGTTAGCCACAAGCATGTCATGGTGTCGGTGGGCGGCGACTGAAAAAGACTATATAGTGGGAGGAAAGTCAATGTGCAATCGGCATTCCCCATTCACGCCTCACAACCTGCACGGCTGTAGCAAAGGTGAGAGTTCAATGACAAAGAAGGGCAAAGTGCGCGCCTGCTTGGCTGGAATGGAGAGCTTGGATCGCAGATTGGGTGATTGAATATGAATCTTCTCTTGACTTTCTCTCAAGGAACATGATCGAGACCAAAACAATAAGCCAACATTGTGCCTTCCAACACCCTGGTAGACCTTCACTGCATCCCTGGCAGCACTGTGAAAGCCAGCACGCGAATATCTGTCGGTTGCTTGCCGAGTCCGAGGGAAAAAGATGCAAAAAGAAAATGCTGTCGGTTCTTTCTGGCTGAATCTCTATATTTGCGTGTGAACAATTACCTCCAAGCTTCGCCATGTTGAAGCTGCCGAGCCACGAAAAGGCATCCCCTGCTTCACGCCACTGAAAAAGCGCGAGGAGAAACCTTAAGAAGTGAAGCTCAGCCATGAAGCGTCGAGAAAGCCGACCCAGTGGCTCAATAGTCACAGGCTGAAGCCGAATGGATGTGTTTGGAGTGCCAGGGTCAGGACGTGGCACGCCTAACGTTCACCAGGAAGAGAAATGCCGGCAAGTTCTCCACAGATGCTTCTGGCGGCATGCCGCTGTTTTGCGATACTCCACTGGCGCCAAATGCTCTCGGAACTCAACAAATGATAACAGCCTTTCTGTGTTCATGTCTTTCTCTTTTGTCAAATGCAGTACCAAGCTGGGCAAAGGAGGCACAGCCTAAGGCCACGACTGATCTGATCGAGCTTGGCCACAGCACCTGTCCACCAATTCCAGATTCAGGTATGATGGATCACCACAGGCCTTTGCTTGGTATTCCTCTACATTGTGCAGTCCGCATCGTTTTGAGTCACGCTATTGGTGGGATCTAACTGCCAATTTCCTAGGCATTCTCCCGAAGGACTTTTGTAAAAGCACAAATACTGAATGGTCTTTCGGTCGCATTTCTAGCCGGGAGAATCCCTGCACCCACGAGGGGAGTGTGGAAGGAAAAGCGGTTTCTCAGCGGATCGGTTTTGACCGCTGAACGAAACATCTATACAAGCTATGGCATCCGAGGGGCTCAGCTGGTGACAGCTATGGTTCCAAGGACATGTCAGGGGCCTGTCTTTGAAATGTGGTAGGAACCATGTCTTTGATGCCAGTTGATCTGCCCGTGACTGTTCTCAACTCACTGGGCATGATGGCTCTCCCATCTGCTGCATGAGCATTTGCAGACCTCGCCTTGGGTTGGTAAAAGTTTGGGCTGCTATCAAGAAAGAGAGCATTGAAGAGCATTGAGCATGCAAAACCCTGTTGATGTCTCCTGCAACGTGAACGAGGATCTTCTGACAAAAGAACTGCAGCTGGAGCAGACTGATGAGTTGGGCACGGACTTTTCTTTGACACAATGTCTTGATCCAAAATATTTGGTTGCGACTGCCAAGTCTCTGATCCGCGGGTCCACCCGTCAAGGAGATCTGCACAGAAGGAAGACCAGGAAGAAGTATTCTGGAGGAGACCTCAACATTTAGTTGTATTCAAACAAAATAATGAAGCTCTTGTGCAATGCGTGCCGCCCGGGACTTGTCCTGGATTAACGAACCAGAAGTGCATACAAAGCAACAACTTACTCGCGGCGCAAAAAGTTGCACACATTCAAACAATTTCAATCACTGATTCTTGCGACCGCGGAGCTGCCGCGGTCACCTTGATTTCTGGGAGCTTCTCGACCTCTCCACTCAAATTCCATGGACATTAGTTGATGAGTTGGTGAATATCTATGTGAGGAAGTGTCCATCGCCGATTCATCATTTCGGCATGCTGGAGTATTGCAGATCCTCTTCAAGACCTTTATGAAAGATCGTGGTATTGGATGTGACACGGTATTCACGTGTCTTCGCAGGGTATGTTCTGGCAAGCGAACACAAAAAGTAGCAAGAAAGTGTTGGAAGATCGGTGCTGATCGCAGGCAACAAAACTGACCCAAAAAAGTAAAACGTTTTGCACGAGACTCCAAGACAGCTGATTTTTGTTGCCTCCTCTTGTAGCTTTGGAGGCCGGAGCTCCGCTGGGGTGGCTTTGAAGAGCAAGTTGGCCCAACGATATGGAGCCACTTCCTGCACTTGGAACTATACAAATTACAAATGGCAAGTGCTGGCAACATGTAGCAAAGCCAAAGCGCAGGAATTGGGAGCCAAAGGTGTTGTAATTCCTGCTGAGAAGACCGCATATCTGGACAATGTAGAATCTGAAGGAATCCGAAGAAATTAACAAAATCAACAATGAGCGCTGACGATTCGGTTGTCGCACCTCGACACGAACGTTGGGCGGCTCTTCCAATTGCACACGCTCATCGGGTGCCCAACCATCTGCGGGGCAGAACAAGGTATCTCTGCTGCTCTTGAAGACACAAACCTCCTGCAGGAACATGTTAGTCGAAGCATCATTAGACTAGAATCATTCCCATCACAAGTTTGATGTGTTTTGGTGACCGAGGATTTAAGTTTGCAACTGCATGACATAATCTGTTGACTTATGACTTTCATTGGGGAAGTGGATGCCATCTCAAACACCAGCTAATCAACAACTCCTAATGAAGCATCGACCAATGGTGCAGTCCTGTGCCACAGGCACTGGCATGGCTCCTGCTTGATAAAGGCCCCATCCAGTTTTCTCCTCCCACTTGATTATGAAAGGAGCTCCATCTACCTTGGAGCGGCCAAGCCATCCCACTCTTATCTACCGGAATTCCCAGCTTTGTCCGCTATCTGCGTTCCAAGAAGCTCTGTGGTACCGCGGCCTTGGCAAAGCTTTAGCGTTTCAAATCAAAGGACACTTTCTGTGGTCACTCCATGATTGTTTTTTTCATTGTAGACTTCTCACAGATTCAAGTTGATTGAGACAAACAAAATTTATCAAGCCTGCTCGAGGAAGATGTGGAATCCTGGAAATGCAGGTGACATCCAAAACATTTCAAAACAATTGTACAAACATCTGAAGGCAACTTTTCTACACGTCTGCTTCTCCAATCTTATCCACCATTGCCTCTCGTCCCAGCTTTCCCAGTCCTGCGCCGACTCCTCGACTTGCTCCTGTGCCTGCAACGCCTGAGGCTCTGGTGCCTCAGCCGGCGCCTCCGCTGGTGCCTCGGCCGGCCCCTCGGCGCCTGCGCCCTCGCCCGAAGGGGCCGTGGAGGCCTCTTGAGTTTGTGCGGCCTCTGGTGCAGGTGGAGCGTCCGGTGCCTCCTGCGAGGCCGACGCCACTGCCCCGGACGATGCTGCAGGCGACGCCTCTGGTGATGCCAGGACCGCATCAGTTGATGGCGTGGCTCCATCAGCCGTGGCAATTGGTGGAGCCGGTGGAGCTGCTGGCGGTGATTCAGGTGAAGCCTGACAAATAACTGCCACGAGATCCTCTGCAACTGATTCTCACAATGCGGAAGGGTGATGCTGTCACATATTTGCGGTCGCTTCGAAACGGCTTCACTGTGCCTGATCTTGCTGGACGCGGACATAGACCCCATCAGCAGGTCCTACGCAGTGGGTTATGAAGCTACTCAGTACAGCCTGCAAACAACGAATCCGGTTGGTTGGTTGGTTGGTTGGTTGGATGGATGGATGGTTGGTTGCTTGCTTGGTTGGTTGGTTGGTTGGTTGGTTGGTTGAGTTAGAATGCTGAAGACAGTTATGTATCTTGTATTTTCTCCAGGATTCCACTGACCAAGTAAACCAAAAAGGAAGTCCTGAGCCCGTCACCCGCAGCTCCTTACATCTGGCGCACTGCTACAAAGGCATCCGCAAGAGTGTCGGCGGCTATAGATATTGGACAACTTTGATGCCGAAGAGGAACAAAGGCATGATTTTGCTTGGTTGCCTATTCTCCTCAACCCGCTGCCTTGTTCTTCATATTCTTCTTGGTTTCTTCAAGACAAGGCTCATGGCTGCAGAGCTCTCCGAAGTCCAGCTTCATGGATTCGAAGGCGTAGCGCAAGGATTCCTAGACTGCAGGCCGATTCCATGCACATGCAAATACCTATAGAGCACCACCTGCCATTCAAATATGTGATTAGAACTATGACTGTTGGATTTGTTGCTGCTATTACTATATGGGAAAAATACTAAAGGAAAAATATTAATGAATGAACCGTTATTCTATTTAACTATTACTGCAAATAAAACTATACATTATATGTTGTCTTCAGGAAATTCCCTCATAAAATAGAATATATACTGCATGTCTTTCCTCCCACAAACAATATACAGTACTATTTATGTTGTATTGTTTGTGGGCTGGACTAAAACAACTGGCTTTCTTATGCTGATATTTCACTTCTAACTGCCGTTCATTTTAGTCTTCTACTTCGGTCGCTCTAATCTGCAGCCAATCCCAAATGAAAAGCAAAAGGCGACCAAAGTGATCCCTTCGGCTGTATCGTGGGAGCTCTTTCCACAGCCGATGCCACAGGGAAAAGACAAATGTGCCCCTTTTTGGATCCACATTTATTTGCTATATCTTATGATTTTTAATGCGATGAATGAATGACAATTGTGTCTGAAGGAATGAGGTGGCGCGATGTGGCTAATAATGTAACCAAAAAAACAGCCCAAATAAAAGTGAGCGTGTCTCCGTCTTTTGGGCTCACTCCTCTTATTGAATTTTGGTCATAAAGAAATGTTCCATCTACCAAAATTCAATAGTGAGCCTTCTCTGTAACCTCCATAATTTTACAATTGAAAGAGATGGACAAATTGCCAACAATATGTTGGACCTTCCTTGACTGGCGGTTGAACTCACAGAATGATTTGCTAGTACCCGGTATAGAACCGCCACCGCCAGGCCAACAGCAGGGGGCCCCAGATCCAAGAAGGGGCCCGTCTGTCTCTTCCCTGTGGCATCAGCTGGGGAAGAGCCCTGTCACTTCTAGGAAACCATAATTAAAGTTCATGAAAATTGATGACCCCTAAGATTTACTGCTCAAAATAGGAAATACTTGTTAATGGATTTTGAACCGGGATATCCACCAAATGAATCATCATATTTCTTTCTAGGAAATACTTGGCTAGGCATATAGACCACTTCGGTGATATCACCATCATCTGCAACTATAAATTTAGAATTTCGAGATACCTATGATACCTTCTGCTTTATTCGTTAGGTGCATTTCGTGACCAATCTTCTCTTCAAGCTTCGATGGGAAGCAACTCTACTGGCCGACGGCCCGACGCATCGCAGGCCCCCACATCGGCGCCCGCATCCAGCAGCTCCGCCACACAGTCGTTGGCTGAGACGAAGAAAAGGAGGGAAAGGGAAGACTTCAACAAAAGGATGTATATAATTTTATATAATCAATATGATTTGTGCGTGTCTTTTTTCTTTCTTTGGTAAAACAGGGCTGAAGAACGAAGACTCTGTAAGAAGTGGAAGAAGATTGTCTTTGATGTCGCAAACACTGCAAAGCAAAGGCATGTCTATCATCTCTGTCCGACAAAGTCCGGAGTTTCCTGTCTCTTGTGTGCCTTGGAAAGCTGCCCAATGCAAAGGCGTTAGGCCTTGCAAATCTGGAGTCGAAAGATCGGCCTGAGCTCGATGTGTTGCTCTGCTTTTTTAGATCTTCAATCGCGTCAACTTGATCCGGAGCCAACCAATCAAGCGAACAGGAATTGAGATGCATGTGGCTGACAGCACCAGGCCAAGACACGTTCCCCTCCATCAAAGCTTTTGCAGATCTGGTACTGCCAGCTACAACTGCATGGTGTAAAGCCTGCCTCGGTCTGAGGG